AAAATGAGAGCTGGGATTTAAGTAGTCAATATTGGCCAATTTATGCACAAAAAGTCAAAATAATGTTTGGCAAGAAACATCTACCGATAGTTGGATGAACTGTGTAGATAGCTTTCAGATAAAAAGTCATTTATATATTAAAATAGAACAAGCAATTATTTCCAGTACTTTAATTGGATAGAGAAACAACCCTGAAGAATGAAAAATGTTCCATTGAGGGTCACACAGTAGCCCAATCTCCCAATATTGTGAATATAAATATTTCGGTGATCTAACCGCAAGGGACTCTGGGAAGGAGAATGACAGTAGCCGTATTCTCGGGCTGAGGTACGTCACAAACGTTCTATGTTGCGACAACGCGCAGACATGTATTCATTTAAAAAAATAATAAGTTTGGTGTTTTTTATTGATTTACTTGTATTTATTTAATTATTTATTTATTTATTCATTTATTTGCTTGTTTGTTTGTTTATTTATTGTTTATTATTAATTATTCTGTGTAATTTTATTTTTTTCAGTAATTCTGGACATCGAGAATCCAGATGAAAACAGCGCCCTAATCGGTCGATATGCTGATTAAAATGGCTGTCGTAATAATATCGTGGTCAGTTTGACGATTGTTGTAGATATGTGGCTCGTTTGGATCGTTTTGGGGTCGTTTGGTTCGTTTTTGGGTCGTTTTGGGGTCGTTTCGTAATATGTCTAAGCCCGTATATTCAATTATATGATATCTCGCGCATGCGTGGCACGACGACTACCGCCCTGCAACAGCAAAGTATTGAATTCAATTTCTGCAAACTTCGCAAAGCTGATTTGAAAGTTGCCTGAGCGTTGAGAAAAAAATGGAAAAAAACACTCTAAATCTCAAAAGCTATCGACGAAAAGTTGATTTGAAAGGCTGTAAATTTTCCCGAATAGATATCAGCAAAAATCTGAAATTTGGAAGGCGAGAGAGTCACCTAAAGTCACGAAAGTCAACCAGAATGTTTGACAAGTAACTTTAGAAGGTGGGGAAGTCATTAGAAAAGTATCAAAGACCATCTCCAAAGTCGCTTTTGCAGGTGAGAAATGTGCTTGAATAGTTGACCTGAAAGGTCGGTAAATTGTCTGAATAGTTTCAAAAGTTGTTTGCAGTTTGATATGCCACAAACGATGCATATTATGTTCAAAAAGTCGCTTTGGAAGGCAGGAAAGTTGCTTGAAAAGTAATCTGCAAGTTTGAGCAATCAATAAGGCTGTAACGTTTTCTGACAAGTTACACAAGTCGCCTGGAAAGTTGCTTGTTTATCCACAAAAACCAACTTTAAAGTTTGAAAACTCATTTCGGGAAATTCCCTGAAATGTCAGGAAACTATGTGCAAATTTTGAAATTTACTGCATTCTCAGTTAGCAAATTAGCAACGAGGCTTTGCACTGAGGTTTGAAAATTTATTGTATAAGTCAGGAAACATTAAAATTTGGAAGGCAAGAAAGTTGGTTGAAAAATGGCACAAAAATATGTAACTCGTCTGCAAAGTGTGTATATTCATGAACGCCATTTCTAAAATTGTTTTGTCTAAATTCAGTGCTCCAATATTTTAGAATTTGTTGTCAAACCAACAGATTTTATTATTTTTCATGATCACAATCACAATAATCTTTGGGAGGTGTTCTGCATCTAGTGCAAAGAGAGAATGTATTAAACTTTGAAGATCAAACACTTTTAAGTAGTGTAGTAGAAGATATAGAACCCAAACGCCCTCAAGTGATTGGCCAGAGAGATGTTGTTTCTGAGGACTGAATACTAGTCTTAGTAAATGTTTTTACTGATAAAATAAATCGGTTCAACTTGCAGTATTTGCAATCTTGCCACCTAAATTATCTGATGGGTAGATGAAGTTTGTTAACAATGCATACTTCATGCTGGGAGTTTGCATCAAGCACAACTCTTATACATTTTCATTTTACTTCTGGAGACTTCAAGATCCTTCCAAACATATTGTTTTTACCAGCATGCAGTGTTCAATTTCATGATCATGGTCAATTTTAAAATCACAGTTTTTCGAATCTAGATGAATAAAACTCACAATCAAGTACGAGTCTCATCTTCCAACACCCCGGCATCACTTTTTTAGTAAATTATGTTTTCACACAACTATGGCCTAAATCTTCTCCCAGTTCAATCACGCAATGATGAACGTGGAGACAAATTCTATGCATGTTTCGAATTTGTTTCTCTTTAGGGCAGAGGTTGGTTGGTTTGTCTTTCCAAATATACCACATAATTTTTTTTTAATAATAGCATATGAGAATTGATATGTGTTTTTATCATTGTAATATAAATTTTTATCAAATTGTAGATCAACTTTAGTATTGAGAGTATTGGTAATAAACTTTAAGTCAATTTGTATTATTTAAAGCGGGGAGTCGTCACCTGCGCATGCGTCAGATAGCCATAGCGTGTCATCATTTACAAACAAGTGTCTACCCATGAGTCTTTGCATTTTTAGTGCGTTTTGTTATCATTGCTCGACACATTCAAGCAAGTACTACAAATGTATTTCACTACTACTTTATTAACCTAAATCATGAAAGCCCCAACAAAAATAAGTCAAGTTAATGAACACAATGCAAATTGTGAAAAGCCAAGGAGACATCCATAAAAAGCAGTAGGTATCCAGACACCTGAATGATCATAATAAAACTACTACAAATACACAGCGCCCCCACACTCAAAATATTTAAAAATATTCACTTATATATATTTATATATATATATATATCATATCTATATATACTGGAAAATTAATTAATACAGGGCAAATCCAGTAGTAAAACAAACTGAGAACCAGTAACTGAATTTCAATACACAAGGGGAGGGAAAACACTAAATGTATCAGACTTTTGATATGCCTTTGTCTTGCCTTGAAGTTTACAACAGAACACTGCCTAGCAGCAAAAAAAAACAACCAAACCACAGGCACTACGTCAACCTTCAAGTCAAGTTAATTAAAAATAATTCCAACGACAGCAGCTCTCCGAATATAGTTGAACAGTCGTCTGACAATGAAACATGAAATCAAAATAAGAAACAAATGATACAGTAAGTGATATATCAAATTATCAAGGTATTACATCTCTACATATGGTAATCAACTCGTGCATATGCAAATTAATTATAACTTTTTAACCAATGGTTGCAGGAATTTGTGATCACATCACATTAATATGCAAATCTCTCTTGGTTAAGTATATCGATAATCCTGTTCAATTTAGAAGCTGCGTAAGCTTTCATGTAAATGTATCATAGACAATAAGTGCTAACCACTGCTGAAAAAATGTAAGACAACATGGACAAGTTTTTTTGTGTTTTTTTAAATATTTTGTGCCACCTATCCACCATCCACAGCCTTTAACTCATTAGTTTGTATATTGATAATATATCATCAATTGAAATTAACAAGGATTTGTGTATGCTAGGAATTAATAATGAATTTGGTCACATTTTATTAAAAGATATTCATGATCATTTGACTTATCAGGAAAGCAGCGGAAAAGAATATACACATACTAAAACAACGGGATAACTTGTCATAATTATCATTCATCAACTTTGCATTCAGTATAGTCCGTCCTCAACTGTAAATTTATCCGAAATCTACAGTCATTGTCTTTTGCTGAAGTCATTCCAGTATTATTTCACAAACACCTGCTAGATGCTCCTACAGTTGGCCATACATGCTTGTGTATAGCACACACGATAAAACCACAGATGTTGACTCTATTAATGCAAGAGAATCTGTGCATTAAATTATTGGGCAACTTGGGATCATGTAACTTTCAAAATGTTCTATTATAAATTTATCATGGAAAAAAAAGAACTAACCACTAATAAGCCAAATGCATTCAAGCTCTACAAGATTCGTCTTATTAAAATACTCTTTGTATAAATGAACACAAATTCTACTTTAAGTTTTTTCGAATTTGGCCAATTTCAAGTGCAGAGAGCAGAGAAGGAGTATGTAATTTCACTCATGCTATCATCGCCCCCATGGTACCTCTCTTCAAGGATACGACCATGGAATAAATAAATAAATAAATATGACAAGGATATAATTAACATACAGAAGAGTCACACAAGCGGTAATAAATATGCAAGTTTCAATACTGTTGTGAAATCATACAAACATTACTTCATGAAAGCACTTTTGTTTTTTTTACAAATTCACTTACAAGATGTAATTTGTAAATTATCTCTGGTGCAGTAGCCTGCAGTTTTGACCTGTAACGTTTCCAAGAGAGAAGAACACAAGTACCGGTAATGTATTAAGACACTTGTGTTTTGAAGCCATGATATAATAGTAAATGACTACACACAATGTGATTCCTAATACTGACTGAATGCTTATGATTCAATGAATTCATCAACTGAATACTGTAAAAGGATTAATTATTAACTAGGTTTTAATTTTGCTTATTTCGCCGACTAGAAAATGCGCTAAATTAAAACCAAGTGAATATGTAAAATTGAGCATAGAACCATGAATTTAAAACCCACTGAATATGCCTGAAATGGTAAATCAGTGAAATTTATACGCAGTGAAAATTAGTCATTTTACAGTATTAAAAGCGCATTACTAAGAAAGAAAAAAAAAAAAAAGAGTTCTCAGTTTAGCTTGGTTTACTTACACTAAACCATCCCACATTTCAGGCATAATGATTAGCATGAACTAATCATCAAAGTTTGACTTTGCTATTATTACTTACATGTCATTTAAAAAACAAGGAAAAAAAAAAAAAAAAAAAAAAACAGTGAAAAAAACATATGGAAAAGTTCTCAAGAATTTGAAAAATCCTTTTTCAATCAATATACAAATATTTGTATATGGTAAAATTTGGAAAATATACTATTTGTACTAATTCAACTTGAGCATGCACAACAGATTCTTATCCCAATCTATTTTGTCCTCGTCCAGAATGTCTCGGGATATAGGTTTGTTCCTCGGTATAGAATTTTTGTACAGAAATGTAGTAAAAGTGGTGCTAGCCTTGCTAGAGTTGGACACATTGGCTATGGCTAAAAAGACAGCATTTTAAATCACTGTCGCATATCCTGTAATTGGCATCAATAATAATATATTAATATATTCTAGTTGGATTGTGTTTTACACACCCAACACTGTGATGGCTGGACGCTGATTAGAGTGGCAACCTATTGGGGCTCTAGCATGAACTATATTGGCTAGAACCGCACTGAAAGTGTATGGACATCAGAATTGTCACTACAGACAGGTCAGATTATTACGAACAAAGGCACAAGCAGCTCATGGTCACCTGTTGTTGTTAAAATTACCTTCCAAAAGTAATGAATCAAACGATATTATTAGATTGTTCAAGGTTATTCACTCGCTGCATTACAAACCGAACATTTGTGGGATATGTACATATCAACTGTGTTTAATTCTTCGTATTCAACTATATAGAGTTATGAAGGTTTGATATGTTCCCACTTTAGTAGTGATTTCGCAGCAATGAATACTATCAATTACTCCAGCATGGACCTTCAAAATATGTTTGCGCAGTCAATGAAGCCAACATTCTTCCTCCTTTAAATGATACACCACCGAATAAAAAACAAAACTGGTAAAAGGCGGGGAGGAAATATACTACAAAATAGGCATAATCACTGTACAGCTGTAATTGGGGAGGGGCACATGTTTTTATCGTCTAATCTATAGACTGCAAGACAATATATGTACAATCTATGAATATACAGCTTCGCTGATATATTTGCATAATGACAGCAGGCTTTGTGGAGATGCGAACATCACACATTGATTTATGGGTTAAACTCAGAAGGCGGTTGTAACATGAATAAAGAAAGAGACATCAGCGACTCAATGCTATAGTTGTCATTTCAAATGTAACAGAGTGTTATTCCATCCATAAAGTATGTTGCATGAATCTTTTATTCACCAGATGTTTGTTCAGCTACACTTATGAAGGGTATTCTTTCTTAATTCGTAAATCGGTTGGACTACCGGTAGGTTCCTCGGTTGGCAAATCATAGACTTCCACGTATAACGGTGGCATTGGCAGATCTGGACTCCCTATTTTCATCTTGACAACGTGTTGATTGTGAAGTTCATTTAGCGAGCGGAGTTCTGGAAGGCGTAGAAGTAGTTTGGCAAAAGTATGTGATGAGCTTGAGTGGTTACGTAACGTTTCCACCTTCAGCGCTGTGAGAAGTTTGCTTTGAATCATCGACACTGAGCGTGGATCTTCAAGTCCAGGCCGATCTGAGAACCAAATAACATAGCAAGACACTTGTAAATTTTCACAGTCAAACTAATTGTAATTGTGTATCTAACTTTAAACACAAATCCAGCCTCATATGAATAATGATTACAAATATTTGACAAATATTAAGTGTATCAAGTTCTTCATCTAATTAGCCACACAGAACAGGTCCATGTCAATCAAACCACATTTGTACACAACACTGATCCATATTCCCAAGTATAAACGCTATATTTTGACAACAAAATGCATAAATGTTCTATTAACTATACACTTGCACTATTTAGGTGCTTTGCAATGTTATTGTTGTTGATAATCATTGAAAAGTACTAAGCACTGAACAATCTGAACTTGAGGATTGTGGTACTTTTATAACGCAAACTGGTTTTTGCTTCTTAGCTAAACAAATATAGAAAAACGAACTTACCATCACTACACAATACTATTGCAGATAGTAAAGCAGCTTCACTGGTGGTGAGATCAAAAGAATGAAGCTCCCGGGCAAACTTAAACAAGCCTTCCACCAGCTCTTCTGGCATAATTGACAGCATCATATTGCGTGGTATCTTGTGACCAGTATTCAGTGTGAACGCATTGTATAGCACTAGTTCAACACAATCTTGTATTGTAAGGATTTCAAATAAACCAGCTTTAACTAACACTAACTGGTCTTGATGATCTAGGTGAATGAAACCTACGCCAGGCGAAAGGAGAATTGTTTATTACAATACAGTTTTCTTCAATATAACCACAAATTGGCAAAATAATGTATTAGCTTTTTTAGTAGGACATCGCCAATAGAGATGCATTGGAGTCAAATAACTGTTTGGTGCAAAGTACACTAACACTGACCCAATGATTCAAATAACAACATGTATCGTAAAATCTGTATTAGAAGCCGCATCTCTAATAGAAGTCGCACACATTCTTTTTGAACAATTGAGAAGCAAACATTCACAATTTCTCATATGTGTACATGCTCTAATAGAAGCCGCTGCTTCTAATACAGATTTTACAGTACTTGTAATAGAGTTGACACAGTGTAAAGGCTACTGAGATTAAAAATGCATATATAAGTACAAGCAAAAGTTCCTTGTTCTCCCTGTTTCACCTCCTACCTCCTCAAAACACAATATGTTCTGCGTCAGAGTTATTTTTGCCATGGTGTACAGCAATTTTATCAACTGTTGTCAATGATTTTACAACTGTAACTTGTTGCTATCTCGATAGTTGATGGAAGCTAAACTTACCTGGCACTTTCTTACAGAAAGTTATAAGCCTTTTGATATACTGTGATAAATTATCTCCTACAAGACTCCACAATTTCACCTTATCTTCTTCGTTCATACTCGGCGGCTGATGTGGTGATGCAAACATCTCTGAACAAAAAGAAAATTATAACAAATTTTTAGGTTTGTTTTTGAAAAACTGATACGAAGTCCAACCTAGCACTGATTCTAAATAAATTGAATGAACGAATGAATGATTGAATGAATGAAATGAATATTCAGGATGCAACACAAACTACAAATACATATTTTCTTCAGAGTCGAACCTTTTGCTATGTAGCCAAGGTCCACAAATTCTGTCATTACCTCATTCTTTTAATCAAGTGTCTATTAAAGTGTGTCATCTTTGGCAATTGGATATCCCGCTATTTTGTTTTATGTTCATTGCCATACGCTGTGCCATACACTGATTGGGCGTATGTTTTACACAGGCATATCCAATCAAATTGATCTATTTTACTGATGTCACACTCGAATCACATACAGGTTTGTGAGGAAGTCAAGTTAGCGAAACATGCGATATTCAGGTTTGTGTTCTGGATTTATACTCTTGTTTGAATTCAAAGGGATCTTCAGCTCCTGTCAATCCCTACATTGTACGTCTTTGGCACAGTTCAGCACTGTTAATGGATTGACATATCAAATATAGAAAGATTTGCTAATTATATGCGATATATTGAAAGCACCATCACCAACTTTTGCATATAGCACAGGGTTATTTCATTGCAGATGTGGGGTCAACGTTCAATTCAGCTGGGACGTCAACTGGGTCAAATTTCAATTCGGCTAGACTTACCTGGCTGGGACGTCGATAGGGTCAAATTTCAATTCAGCTAGACTTACCTGGCTTTTCAAACTTGCCTACTCTTGGACTCTGCACTGTGGTGTCTGGTATGGAATCTGTCAGATAATGTTTCTTGTATTTTAACGATTCCCATTCTCCATTCCGACACTGCAAGAATGACAACAATGAAAATTAAGTTTCAGAGAAAACCGCTAGGTAATGATTTCTACATTTTTTTCTCACCCAGAACATAATTGATTTGTTGTAAAATGCAAGCGAGGGTATTTGTATATATCACGGGAGATACCGGTAATGATTTCTTCTAAAGTAGATTATTTTGCACATGGTATAGGATTTAACATAAAATAATGTTTCGGCATAGCTGTATTCATCTGATGAAATGGCGAAAATACGATTAATGGCAATACGAAAATACGATTAATGCTGATATGAAAATACGATTAATGGCGATACAAAAATACGATTAATGGCGATACGAAAATATGATTAATGGCAATACGAAAATACAATTAATGGCGATACAAAAATAAGATTACCCTGAATTTATCTACTACATGAATACATACAGGTAATTAGGTGTGCACATGCACTACTGAAATGTAATATCAAACCAAATTACTTAAAAATTGCTCAAAAATAATCAAAGATCATACCATAATATGAATAATAAAAATACAATTTAAACTCAAAAGTTTATAGATGTAGAAAAACATACGTATGCTTTTGCTGTGTCTCTGTGAGCTTTTGCAACATCTGCAATTATTACTTCAATTTCAGGATCAACAACTGGGCTTGGAGGTGAATCAATTGGATGCTCGCTTGAGTCTGCAGCTGATTCCTTGATGGAGGCTTCCGAAATGCTGACCAATGGGAAATCTGCATAGTCCGTCTCTTTTTGTTTATTTGGAATTCGTCCGATACGCACGGCTGAAATCAATACAGTATTCATTGTGATGCGGGTTTATTATCACAAAAACTGGTGCATATCATGCAAAAAAAATGTTCAAATGTTCTAAGAGATAGAATGAATAATATTTATCACCAACGTAAAATACACAAAATGATCTACTCATTCTATTCTATAGTATAGACTTGATTTCGCCACCAGAAACGTTTGGAAATTGATAGTTTGAGGGCTTTCACATAGATACTGTATACCACCTAACTATTTTTAATATTTTGATAATTTTTATAATTTGATACCAATTGTTAAGACAAAATTTTCGGAAAAATCACTAAAACTTTGAAATGTTCAATGCCACAAAATTTCAAGGTTTTCTTTGACTGGGAAAATTCACAATAATTTCTCTCTTGTGAAATTTAAGCAGTTTACAATGAATGTGCAAGCTAGAGAATGCCAAACCCAAAAGTTTGTCACCTTTAAAAAAATAAATCCATTTTTAAAGACATGAAAGCTGATAAAAAATTACATCCATCCCAAATCAATAAATAGAGTATAAAAAAATACTTTAAAAAATGTACGAAATCTTGCAACAAAATATTGGTGAGAAAAAATTTTCAAATCCATAAAAGTCACTGAGACTCCCTGGCAGGAAAAATCTTTTCAAATACATCTCACTATACCTATCATGATCTCTTTGCTTTCTGGAAAATTGTTCATCGCATTTGAAATGAAATCAAGTGTACCAATCAGCCATTTACCTTCTTTGGACATTCCTAATTCAATACATTTTTTGTACCGACATGATGGACATCGATTCCTTTTCGTCCTATCAACTTCGCATTTACCACCTCGGATACAGACATATTCTTTTTGTCGCCGAAGACAACGACGGAAAAATCCCTGTTTGCAAAAAAAAAAAAAAAAAACATGTACATATTACAAAGCATACAAAATTCAATGCTCAGTAGTTTATTTGCCAACCTATTGTAAGCTCAATGCATCATGAGTAAGCACAGTGCATCGTGGGTAAAAAATATCTAACCTTGCAGCCTTCGCATGATATAATTCCATAGTGTACTCCAGACGATTTGTCGCCGCATATTCGACATTGAACACTGGGAAAATCTGGGGGAAAAAAATGAAACTTTAATTTTTATAAAGTGTACATTTCACATTCAAAAACATGAGAATTCATTATAATTTTAATAATCAATTGACAAGCGCCCTCTCGCAGCTATATTGAAAAACCTTTCTAAACCTGCACACATTCAATAGCGCCCTCTATTGCCTGAAAATAAATGCACAAGTCTGGTCAAAAAATAATCAGGTGCATAACCTTTTCACCACCAGAATTTCTCGTCCAAATTTTTCTGCACTTTTTTCTTATATTCTTCAATATTTCTGAAAATGAACCCTAATTTTGGAGTAGATGGAATTAAATTTCAGGAACTGGCGGTGAAAAGGTTAAACATAGTCAGGTTGATCACAAAAAAATCCTCTCTAGGTCCTGCAACCACAAATATATAAAAAGCTCCTTTCTCACAACTACTCCAGCTTCACAACACAAGAGTACCACCTCGATCAGAGCCCCCCTGAAAACATTCCTAACATGAAACATAAAGTACATCAAGTCAGCATTACTGAAGCAAGTGATTGGTCTCTAGGGTGAGATATAACAGGCACACGGAGTTCAATTATCTAGAGCTAACAGAAACTGATAGCAACCCCCATTGATATATGGACCATACTTAGAATATGACAAATGTTTCCAGCCAAGCCGGCAACGTAATGTAACCTGGAATCACATACAGTTCACTGACTCATTGCAAAGATTAAGAGTTGAACAATTTGCATTCAAAAGTAGTGTTCAATCCACAATGAGTTATAAGATATGCTAGCAGCTCATTATTCATGAACACAATCTTGGATCATTTCCGTAATTAATTGCCATAGAGCAATATGACGACATTTTTAATTTGACGAAAACAATCGTGTTTTATGCAGTTTGAAACTTGCTTGCATGAGTGTTAATGTCCTCTGGGCGACAACATTTTGTAGTATTAATTTCATACCCACTATTCCTCGATTGACGTACCACATATGACTTGAATTATCCAATGGGTGTTCTAGAATCCACGTCATTATATGATGGTAAAGAGATCAAAGTACTGACAATGCTGAATATGCAAATTAAAATACGTACATGTGTACAGCAACAATTTGATTGGCCAAAACATCCCAATTCACATCCATGGTTTACAAAGACCATGCAAGTCAATGTACATGTGTATGTGTCATTCATGACTATAACAGCATGTACACCCTTAGATGTACTTTGCCATAGAATCAACAAACTATACTGCATAGTCACATTTTGACTCAATATATCAATAAGTGTGGCCATGTGGCAGAGAAGGGTGGCATTTTCTCTAGATAATAAATTGCCATGTACGCCACTGAATGATTCCACAGCCGTGTTTGCTTTATAAGAGGTGCATCTGCAATAGAGGCACATACAATGTATAAACCAAAAATCGCATTCGTTGTATAGTGAATCATTAAAACATTACCTATCTTGCCTATATATACAAAACACCTGTATAATTTAAGTAAACGCATGCGCTATTAATGGAGAAAATACAGTATTGAATGAATGATACTTGTACCCTGCAACAAAGCCATGTACGTTATAAATTACTTATAAACCTAAATATGAATACAGTTGGGGTTATAAATGGGTTTGTTGACTCCAGTGTAAAGTACATTTATTAAATTCAAGCTAGTACCGGGGTATATCATAATAATTTTGTATGTGTGTACCAGCAATAATTGAATATGCATGTATTTATACTAATGCAGTGTTAAATGGAATTCCCGTAAGAGAATTAAGCTAAAATAGCTACAGTCAGTGAATTTTGAACTATGACACATCAAGCTTCCAGGGGGGGAATGTTATTTATAGACATTTTTGCATAATACTAACATGCCCATACAATTTGCATAGTATTTATAAAGAGATATAAGAAATGTAAAATACTGTACAGTTAAGAATGTAACAGTAAATATGACTCAAGGCTGTAGAGCTGTTGAACAATACTTGAGTTTGGATAAATGTTTTGAACACTGAGCTGTAAATCTGACGTCAAGTGACGTCAATTGTTACGCTGGAAAACAGGAAGCATGTGTGGTTGTATAAAGTTGAAAAAAATAAAAGACAAAGGGCAATAAATTTATATACCTTCATTGGTAATAACTTAGAATTATAATCAATTGTACTTGTGCTGGCGATGTTCATGCATATTAATTTGTTGTTGCCATTTCAGAACGTACATGTACGTATCACGTGATACCCTGCAGTGACGAACAAATCGGTTGTCCTTTGATGACCTTTAAGAATGAGAGGTGCGAGAGTAAACATAATGCGTCTCACTGTGCAGTATTTTTAGGAAAGATTGAAAAAGAGGTTATTCTTATATTAAATGCAGGGTAAATGTAATGTTATCAATTAACACGCTACAATGACGTGCTGAATATAAACGAACAAATTAACATAAATTGTACAACAACAAAACAAGTAAACATTTAATGTTTTTTTCTATTAAGTCATATAAATAATTCAATTTTCAAACATAAAAATTGTCAGTTGACTATTCTTGTCCCCCATAAATTACATCTCGATCACTATATACATAAAACGCAGAGCTGTGAACAATTTATAAAATCATTGATGTGCAAGACGAAATAGAAAAAAGGTCACTTGTACATGAAAGTCACGAATAGTTCAGGTCGTCTCCTCATGATCACTTTAGCAAACATAGACCTGATTGGATTGTCACAACAAAGTACACATCACAGAGAATAAAAGACTAAGTCCTGATTGGACTAGTATATGAACAGACATGTATACAGACACGACCGCACTGTATGAATCAGCCAAGGGGAGGTTAAATCGAGGTCACTTCGACATTTGCCCTATATATTACTTTCAAAGGTTATACAAACCTAATCACCTCTATTTCTCTCACCCGGATCTTTAGTCAAGCCCTCGGCTTATATGCATTTTAGATAAAAAAAAAAAATTCTGTTTTTAGTTGACAAAAATAAATATCTTGAGTATGATACATTTACAGAGACTGAACCAATATTGAGTTAATAATTATTTTGTTTTTAATAAATTAAAACATGCCTAGGATGCTTATTGTGACAGTTTGGGAGATCCCAGTTTTAATTACAGCTTTGAATAACATATTGTGGTGACTGTGTTTAAAAACTTCCTTTCAATGTACAAAATGTATGCACCACGCCATATGCTCTCATTATACAGAGAATCAATGTTTAGAAAACAAACATTTTTATTTTTCCTCAACACCGTGTTTCTTTTCCCCATACACAGCAATCAATAGTATTTGCGTTCATTCCATGGGATATGTGACTAGACATCCATCAATGTGATTGGTGTTAATTAGAAATAGCACTGATTTTAAATTCGTCTTGTCACCCACGCATGAATTCCCGGCTGTCACTAGACACCAATTTGCAAGCAGCAGTAATTCCACAAACACAAGCAGTGGAAAAATATTAAAAGGTGAAATATAGGTCAGCGAAGCATTCTGTGTACATTGACACAATGTACACTATGAATGCACTCTGAATCTCGCAGAGAAAGGGTTGTATTGAGTACAGCTGCATCTAAAGGGCTGTGAATAAAGCGGTGCACTAGACTGGAAGTAATTATTTCACAGCAAAAAAATCTGAAACACAAGTAATAAAAAAATAATTCAAAATTTCATTATAATTTATCATTATAATTTATCATAGACATACTTTAATAGTACTTATTAAATCTAAATAAATTGTAGCAAATGTAACCCAAAAAAAAACATGCAGAAATATAAGTATTAGGTAAGAGACGACTTGAACAGTGGGGGAGGGGAGTAAAAGGATGTGTATTTTAAGGGGGCAATTTAACAACTCATGGTTGCTAACTAGATATGATTTATGTTTTGTTTTTTTCAGTACTTTGCTCAGAGTTGCTAACAGTGATAGCAATATAGAGTGCACATCAATTCTACAAGCATTGAAATCATAGATATTTCTTTCCTCTAGCATAATGTCTCAAAGCACATGTAAATCGTTCTCTGTATTTATAACGCAGCACTGTCTAGACAGTTAAAATTCAGAATAATTATAGTTGGAGACATTTTCAGAAAAACCATTCAATGTGGGTAAGTTGGCAAGTTGTTGAGGGTTATGTACATATGTAAGATATTAACTTTTTCACCACCAGTTCCCTCTTTTTCGTCCGAAATTCACAAAATAGTTCTGTTTATAGTCTGCACTTTCTTGCAGAAGATTGAGACAAAAATAGCCAAATTTTTCAAGTAAAAACTGCAAAATGATTCAAATTTAGTGTGTTGGCTCCAAAACTATGTTTTTTTTTACAGAAATATCGAAAAATATAAGAAAAATTTGGGCGAGAAAGTCTGGTGGTGAAAAGGTCAAACCACATTAAATTTTCGCAGAAACATCAATATTCTAAAATGATGTCATTTGCATCACAAAATCTAATGAATAATTCATGAGATTCTAATCAAGTAAACAGACTGTCGAGTTCCTTTTGATTCGCAAACAAATCACTCAAACGCCGCAACAATTGCATTAAAGCAGTTGGGGCGTTGAAAACATGTTGATCATTTGTGCATTTTACCTTGCATCTGATTTGTCAGTATGGTTACTGCTTAGTACAATATTTGATAAATTGACACAATTCTGATCAAATCTATTGAGAGATTAGAGAGGCCATTACTGCTAACCCAGTAAAATCAATGGCTATGTTGATAGCGCAATAAATGCATTTTTCTATGCTGCACGGTGTCACAATACAAGTCTAACAAGACCAACCAAATAAAGAAATGTAGACGGTATTCCAATACAAGTACATGTTTGTCTTATCTCACTACTTCCGCCACACATAACTTCATTATACATTTGGTTTTAAATAATAAAATGCATTACAACCTTGCATACAAATTTTTCCTTGATCCCCCAAACAACTCAACAGCAGAACGATCCATTTTTAAATATTACAACAGTTTGCAAAGGCGGGATTTGGACAAATTTACATA